TTTCAAATCCCTTCCCACAACGTTGGCTAAGCCGGGCTGCCTGCCGGGGCAGAGGAGAGGGACTAGCTATCCCTGCCAGACGCAGGCCTCTGGGACGCGGCTGCGGACAGACGTTCAGATAGAAGCGGGGGGGGGGGCGCGGCCCCTCGCGCCTCCAGCAAAGCCGCAGGCGCCCGCAGCACGTGCCATCGGGCCCTGCCCTGTACTGCAGCCCGCTCCGCCACGGCCCCTACCTGCCCTCCCCCTCCTCCAGCGGCCCGTCCCCGGCCGGGCTCAGCAGCGGCTCCCGCTCCTCGCGGCTCCAGCCATCGGCCATGGCGCTCCGGCCCCGCACACCCGCACCCAGCAGAGGGCACCCGCGCGCGGGGGCGGAGGTTGCCCTGAAAGGGTCCCGCCCACGCTGCGTCACGGGCCGACTCCGTCCCCCCGGCTTTTCAGGTGCGACTTTCTGGCCAGCTGGGAGGGTGAAAAGTTACGCATGCGCAATACGGAGGGAAACGAGGCGCCGCGCGTGCGCCCCGAGAAGGGAAGGGAAGGGAAGGGCGGGGCAGGGGCGGGGCCGGAGGCGACCTTCAGCCTTTTCCCCGCCCCGCGGGCGCGAGCGCGGCAGCTCCGCTTTCTCTTAGTCCCGCGCGTACCGGTGGGGATAGCGGCAGCGGTGAGGAGCTCGCGGGAGGGGGCGGGGCGCGTTGCGCCGCTCTCTGCTGAGTGGGGCTTTGTCCCCGGGGCCCGGCTGAGCGCGGGGGGACGCGGGAGATCTGCACCGCCCAGCCTAGCCTGGGGGGTGCACGGGGATCCGTGCGGGCAGCGCGAGGTTACCGCGGGTGAAGCTCCCACCCGCCTGGTGCAGGCAGGTTCAAGCTGTCGAAGCGTGCAGGGGTGTGCGTGTGTGGGCACACGTTGGAGTGAGGGGGCGCGTGTATGTGTACGTGTGTGGGGGAGGGGATGTATGGGTGGATGGACATAAGTGCGGAGGTGTGTGTGTGCCTGGGGACGTGTGTGTGTCTAAGCATATAGCTTTATATACCTGAAACTTATGCAGTGTATATATGTGTGTGTGTGTACAAATAGATAAGGTTCTTTGGGTAAACATGGTATCTTTTATTAGACCAACTTGATTGTTGGAAAAATTGTTCTTTGCAAGCTTTTGGGCGTGTGCGCACACGTACTTCTATATCTATAGATATATATATACTTTAGTTAATTTATAAGGTGTAACTCTACTCTGCCTTCTGCTTTATTCTGCTCACAGTTTATTGTGTAACGAGAGCCAGGTATAACTGGGGGTGACTGAGGGAGGTACTTAGCCAGGGTAGTCTGTGCTCAGGTAGGAGGCAGGGTAGATTGGCCCTTTTACAGACCAGCTACATGGGAGAGGTACAGCCTAAGCCTTGGTAAGTGGAGGGAGGAGGGTGTCACTTGCTCCGATGCTGAGGGGACTGCAGGGATTTTAA